CCCCATATTATCAAATCTCATATTTTTTCATCTTGTCTATCAGTGGTTTATTACTTGATGTAATTCCATGTCTAGTATAACATTTTTTTAAAAACATATGAATGCAGAATGAGAGTGTATGTTTTGTTTATTGCAGGGGTGCTAAATGAGTCTTTCTGCTTTAACTCTGTCCTGTATTTACACTTTTATCTAGGAGCACTCCAAATCACATATTCATTGCACATGTGTAACATGCAGACGTCTGTGGAGAAGATTAGTAAATCATTTTCCACGTTCTTTTACCAAATTTCCATATGTGTTTTTACATCCAGTTTGGACTACTTTATTAATTGTCTTGTTCTGAAGATTTTTTAGTTGATAATGTGCAGATTTATTGCGCTGACAAGTTTCGTAGCAGTTCTGTGAGTATGGGACTTTCCCACACAGGCAACCCTTTGTGTTGTCAAAACAGGAATAGCATTTCTCCTCCAAGCAATTCCATAAGCAGTTCTTATGTTCTTATGTCATTAATCCTCAAGACGATATCTTCTCAATAATATTGTTGCTAGCTTAATGCTGGCAACAATGAACAGTTGTAGTAGAACTTCCAGTGTTTACACACAGTTAAATTGAGATATATATATATATATATATGTGTGTGTATGTGTGTGTGTGTGTTATCCTTGATAATAATACAGGCACAACTGACAGGTCTAATATCTTTTGAAATTTACCTTTTTATTACCCCTGCATGCATGACAAATTACTGGAAAAAAGCTGGTGGTTATGTTAAGCTGTGGGGACATTTTTCTGGTTTGATCTTTCCCGGTTTGGGTTTTTATAGTTTGGGTCCACTTGTAAATCAATGCAAAATTATTCTGACTAATCACCTGTATCCTATAGTGAAACATTTATATCCTGATGGGAGCAGCCTCTTCCTGTATGACAATGGCACCATTCACAGGGCATGAGAGCACACTGAACGGTTTGAGTAGGAAGTTGATATAAATCATATGCTGTGGCCTTTACAGTCACTCGATCTCAGCCAAACTGAACACCTATAAGCTGTTCTGGAGGCTTGTGGTGTGCCAGCACTTTAGTAATAAACTATGTGTTGGTTTTTCATTTCATTTGGGGACCCATCTGCGTATGTAAAAAAGGATGGTATTAGCCATATTTTCCTTTTATTCTTAACAGTTTAGGATTGTTATGTTGGGACTGAAGAGAAAGTGTGGAATGTTTAAGAAGTGGTTTTGCAACCGGACTGGGCATGCCCTCTGGTCCCAAGTTTAAAATGCCATTATTGCAGTGGGGTAATCAGTTGGGAAGATCAAATGATCATACACCTTTGCCATGGTGGCCTTCATCTGGAAATGTTTACCCTGATTGTTTTGTTTCGTTTGGTCTTTGCTCAGTGTGTGGCTACCTGGCGCTTCTGTGGGAAACTCTTGCTGTGGCTCTCAGTGGTTTAGATTCGATGTTGGTTTCATTTGTCAGGCTGGACAGTTTTAGTGATACACCTCTGATGGGTTTCCTGTTTGTGGCCCTGCCTCTGCTGGTCCATGTTGCTCTTTTGATCTTGGAGATGTAGCATTTAGCTAGGAAATGTGCTTCCAAATGAGATTTTCATGTGACGAAAAGTCTTGAATCTTGAAAGATGTTTGGTGTTCTATATCCTTGCCTTTGGATAACGGGACATTTTGGAGCTTGTGTTTGTGGCTGCTTTGTCTGAAGGTCAGACATCTTCATCCAGTACAGATCAGTGCTTCTTTTAGGGTTGTTTCAGTCTAGAAACAACCTCCTGTGTCATGTTTGTGGGATGTCATTGTTTTATGCAAGCTGTGTGTGCCTGTGTCTGTCTGTCTGTCTTTGTGTGTATGAGTGTGTGTGTGTGTGTGTGTGTGTGTGTGTGTGTGTGTGTGTGTGTGTATACGAGTGTGTGTGTGTGTATGAGTGAGTGTCTGAGTAGGGGGTGGAGTGTTGTACGATAGACTCCAGCTGTCTGGTGTTTCAATTCATACACCAACACTGTTCTCTTTGTTCTTTTCACAGTTATGGGAAAATAGTATCAACGAAGGCCATCCTGGATAAGACTACAAACAAATGCAAAGGTGTGTATGCCCTGCTATGTCTTCAGCAAGCATGTGTTTCCACTCTTTCCCACCGAAAGTTAATGAATACTTCTAATATAAACTAAAGTACAGAATGCACAAATCTGCCATATGGTTCATACAGATTGAATCATTCAAATATAGAGCGTTTATTTTATGCAGGTATAATACGCTGTGAAGGTATTGTGTGTAGTGTTCTATTTTAAGTTAATACAAACAATATTTCAAAAGTGAGCACTGCAGAAATACCAGCATGCCTCTGTGTAATGTTTGAATTTGTTTAGCCTGATCAAACAGCGTTGCTTGCAGAACTTGGAAAGTCAACGCCAGCGCCTGTTTCCATGAGTTATACAGATTTCAGTGCCCCGCTCTGACTCATGACTTCTTGGCTCCTGTTTGTGCATGCACGAGTAAATGTATGACTCTGTCACTGCTTTGCTATGTGAGACTGGGAGGATCAGGAAACAGGTCCCAGGCCTTTAGTCTGGAGTATCAGGAAGTGTCCTCTGTATCTGCATTCACTGCTGTTATTTCTGCCCTGTCTTTGCTGACTGGGTCAGGCCCTTGGTGTGCTTCCAGGGTGGGGGTTATGTGAGAGAGACGATGGGGGAGAGATTGAAGGTGGCATAGCTCAGAATCTGGCTCAGTTCCTGGGTTTGGCACCTGTGGAACAGCCTGCACCTCGCAGCGCTGCACCTCGCCACTGTGATGTGGATTATTTATGCGCTGAGTAATCTCAGCCTGCCTGAGAAGACTGACGTGTGTGTGTGTGTGTGTGTGTGTGTGGCAGGCATGAGCTGTAATTCTATCCCCTAGTTGACTCTCTGTGCTCATCTGGCAACCAAAAGGTTAGATCTCAGTCAGTAGCTTTGTATCTGTCCGTAGACGCGGTGGAACCTGAGGTGACCCTGTGATCTATACTTGTATACCTTTCCCATAACCAGTAATCAAATTTTATTTGTCACATGCATAACCATTCACAGTATGACACGCAGTAAAATGCTTTTTACAACCACACTGATCTATAAAAGAGAATAAAATTAAATAAAATATAATAAAGAATATAGTATAATATAGAATGTATGAAAAGAAAAATGTAGAATATAAAACAAAAATTACAATAATGAAATAGAAAGAAATGTACAATTATATACTAAATGAAGTAGAAAGCAGAACAGAAATGCGTATAAATAATTGTCAAAACTGTACATGTGCAAAAACCTACGAATTCCTCTGGAAATTCTGCTTTCGCTTTCTTTTACACTTCTGAAAGTTTAGCCCAGTGCTGTCTGCTTTCTATAATCGCATTGCCGTATAAAAAGGAGGGAAGTCTTGGCTTGCCTTTGCAGATTTCTAATTGTGTAATACTCACGCAATTCTCATGTTTCACCTCTGTATCTTGGTCCCAGAGTCAATAGTCATAATCGCCTGAATGAGTGGTTGAGCTATTTGCAGTTGGGTGTGTTTGCAGTTTAAATATGGAAGCAACCACAGTGTCCCTGCAGCTTCCACAGCAGTCAAAGGTGATCAAGTATCAGACTGACTGAGTCACAGAATACTGAATTTTCAATATTCACAGTGTAGTATGTGCATCAAGAGAACCTAACTAATGAAATCAGGAATTGAAACTCCTAGCCACGCTGGGTGAAATCAGGTATCCGGGCACAAGAATTGCATTTCTACTGTGGCAATTTGCAGCTAAGTAGTTCAGAGAGAACATTCCAGTCGTAAACAGATGTATAATTTATAATGAAACAGGTCTCCAAGTGAAACTTCTCTGCCAGGCTAATAGTTTTTAGATTTATTTTAGTCCTCAGTTGTATTGTACCAAACCTATTTCCCAATTCCCAGCCACTAGCTAGTTCTACCCTATTATACGACAGATACCACTTGAGGAAGGTGATGGATAATACAAGTTCTTTTGTACTGCTGCTCATGGAACATTACAGAGAAGCTGAATGTGCTGTGAAGACTTGCTAATAAAAATCACTTCCTTGTATACGAATCTATAGACTTCCACAACTGGCTAGTATTGCCATCCTTCCCACAAAGAGAGCAGGTCCAATTAGATTTTCTTGGGATAAGATCTTGTGATCTACCAAACGACAGGGTGAACTCTTTTATTTTGCACCATTTGGGATCCCTAAATGCCTGATTTTGAATTTTTATAGTACACTGCAAAGATGACGAGTGGCAATGTCAATGTAGCCATGAGCATGTGGACCAATTTCTGTTGTATCAGCCTGAGAAATTGAATCCTGCGCTGCAAATGAGGTCTGAGTTCACTGCAGACTCAAAGCAAGTTTTCTGCTATACTGTGCACTTTACCTGCTTATTACTTACATGTACAGTACACACACGCTTCTACATACAGTAGATGCAAACCCAGTTTAGCTGTTTAATTCATGGATTAAGTAATAACATGATTGGTATGAACCAAAAAAAAGCAGTTATGGTGTCTAAAAAGCTTTAATTACGATTCATTCCGGTTTAGTTCCCCTCAACCATAGACTTGTAAGTTGTTCTAGTAGATGAAAATTCCCTCTTTCCTGTCTTTTCCTCATATGCTATTTATTTATATAACTCTCCTGTATCACAACATGTTTTGTCATGTACGGGTTGGATTTTTGTTGTTTTTTTTTTTGGTCTGTTCCTATACTTTTGCTCACCTAAAAATTGGGTGGTCCACCATGAAAGATGCCATGTTTTGAGTTGTTTAAAACATCTCGATGTAAATATGAGGATACGAAAGCTGAAATTCTGATCTTTTGTCTCAGTCATCTTATGATCTCAAACCCAAATGTCTTCAATGTATAGCCAAAATGATAGACTTGGCCTTGCTGTCCCAATACATTCAGAGGGGACTGTAGCTGTTTAACTGAATGACAGTGAAATGCAAATTCATATAGGGGCAGTGGTGGCTTGGCGGTTAAGGCTCTGGGTTGCTGTTCAGAGGGTCGGGGGTTCAAATCCCAGCACTGCCAAGCTGCCAATGTTGCCCTTAACCCTCTCCGCTCCAGGGCCGTTGTATCATGGCTGACCCTTCGCTCTGATGCTGGCTTCCAGACATGCTGCGGTATGCGAAGAAAATATGTCTATGTATATGTGTACCATAAAGACTCATTATGAAATGAAACCATGAACAGTATGGGCTTTCATATCCTAAATATAAAACCAAAAATACTGTGCAGAACTTTGAACATGAAAAAATTAAGTTAGGCTAATATGGAAGTAATATAAAAAAAAATGTAAATGGTAAAATGATTCAAAGAAAGACATTGCTTTTGGAAGAATGAGAGAATCCTGTTCTCCCACATCAGCCACAGTGTCACTCTGATACATTTATTAAACGCATTACCAGCATATTGTGCATTCTGTTTCATAAAGAGGTTTTTTTTTTTTTTTTAAACTGACTGGTAAATAAAGTACATCTGAGATTTATCAATCAGTGCTTTGGTTAGTCTCCTTATTCACCCTGCTGTCAGCTAATTAACTACTCAGTAAGTGGAAAGACTTGATTTACAGCTGCTCTGGCACAGCATTCGGTCCAGCTTATGTTCAGTAACCTCTGAACATATTTGAACAACAGATTTATTAGCCATACATCACCAACATTATAGCATTAATGATTGTCATTAGTAATTGTTATATAATTACCAAGGCAGTAAATGGCAGAACTTTAAGCTACTGATTTCAGTAGTTTTAGTTGTTCAGCTAATATTCAGATACAACTACCGAATGTTCATGGCAAAACGTAGTATTGAATATATAGCTATGAAGTACATGCACACACACACACACACACACACATATTATATTTTATCCTCACATTTTTGTAATTATTTGATTATATCTTTTCATGTGACAACACTGAAGAAATTACACTTTGCTACAATGTAAAGTAGTGAGTGTACAGCTTGTGTAGCGGTGTAAATTTGCTGTCCACTCAAAATAACAGCACACAGCCATTAATGTCTAAACCGCTAGCAACAAGAGTGAGTACACCTCCAAGTGAAAATGTCCAAATAGGGCCCAATTTGCCATTTTCCCTCCGCGGTGTCATGTGACAATGTTAGTGTTACAAGGTCTCAGGTGTGAATGGGGAGCAGGTGTGTTAAATTTGGTGTCATCGCTCTCACACTCCCTCATACTGGTCATTGGAAGCAACATGGCACCTCCTAGCAAAGAACTCTCTCTGAGGATCAAAAAAAAATAGTTGTTGCTCTACATAAAGATGGCCTAGGCTATAAGAAGATTGCCAAGACCCTGAAACAGAGCTGCAGCAGGGTGGCCAAGACCATACCGTGGTTTAACAGGACAGGTTCCACGCAGAACAGGCCTCGCCATGGTCAACCAAAGGATCTGAGTACAAAGACGAGTTTGACTTGCCTAAAGTCAAGCATGGTGGTGGGAGTGTCATGGTCTGGGGCTGCTTGAGTGCTGCCGGCACTGGGGAGCTACAGGTCATTGAGGGAACCATGAATGAAGCTGAGGGTGAAGGTGATGGACTGGCCAAGCATGTCTCCAGACCCAAACCCTATTGAGCATCTGTGAGGCATCCTCAAACGTAAGGTGGAGGAGCACAAGGTCTCTAACATCCACCAGCTCCGTCATGGAGGAGTGGAAGAGGACTCCAGTGGCAACCTGTGAAGCTCTGGTGAACTCCATGCCCAAGAGGGTTAAGGCAGTGCTGGAAAATAATGGTGGCCACACAAAATATTGACACTGGGCCCAATTTGGACATTTTTTACATTTAGAGGTGTACTCACTTTTGTTGCCAGTGGTTTAGACATTAATGGCTGCGTTTTGAGTTATTTTGAGGGGACAGCAAATTTACACTGTTACACAAGCTGTACACTCACTACTTTACATTGTAGCAACGTGTCATTTCTTCAGTGTTGTCACATGAAGATATAATCAAATATTTACAAAATTGTGAGGGATGTACTCACTTTTGTGAGATACTGTATGTGCAAATTCCTAAAGTGAGATTAAGCATAGTACACCAACTTTTCTCAACTATTTTTCTTAAACTGGATATGCACCAGTCACACACCCCAGGCAAGTATGTACTGTATTGTATTGCATATACTTGAGAGGCCACAAGATTCTATATTAAGTTGTAATCGAGAAGGTCATAGATTAAAAAGACTGTTGTGTATTCCCAGGTTATGGCTTTGTGGACTTTGACAGCCCTGCTGCTGCACAGAAAGCTGTTAATGCTCTGAAGAACAGCGGCGTGCAAGCACAGATGGCAAAGGTAAGAGTACACCCGTTAGACTATCTGTCGTTTCTTCTCTCTTACCTGTTGTTCTCTTTCTCTCTCTCCCTTATTGTCAGATTGCGTGTGTGCGTGTGTGTGTTTTGATGGACGTGTGAATGGCACAGTAAAAGTCACGGCTTTCGTTGAATCTTCTAAAATGAATGAGCAAAATTTTTGTAATTGTAATCAGCCAATTCTTTCTTTTTTTGCCTGGATTAAAAGCAGTAAAGCCAAACCCAGTCTTGGTGTCCTGTAGGCTTACAGTTCTGTTTTCATTTGACTGAAAAGGCGTCTTAATGAAAGTTTGGACATGTCAACCGGCCTGTTCTCTGCAGAGGTGTGGTGATTTCTGTTTCTATTTATGTCTGTGTTCATGCCTGTAGAACAGTGTGTGAAAAGTCGGTGTATGTCTCTCTTGGGTGGAGAGAGAGAGAGAGAGAGGGGAGGAAGAGTACAAAGATAGTGTGATGACAGCAGGGTGACGATATCCAGTGGGAATTCTCCCTGGGGACGTGCCTCTCACACTCGTTCTGTCTCGCACTCAATACACACACGGAAACACACAGGAGCTTCTGTGTTCCCCTGACAAGGCTCTTCGCTTGCTACAAAGCAGAGACTGTTTGAGGCGCACCCAGCTCCGACACTAACCTGAATGCATCCTGTAATGTTACTCGTTACGCACACACACACATGCTTTGCAACTAATGCTTAGGTGTTGGTTGCAAATGGCATGATAAAGCCACATCTGACAGAATCTGGTGGAGAGAGACACACAGAGAGAGGGAGGGAGGGAGGGAAAGTCACCGTTTTTCACTATGGCAACTTGTTAGCAGTCTTCACCCCAACCCTCCCCATTTAAAGCTCTCTATTCATTCCTAAAGAGAAAGCACGGTGGGCTGAGTATGAAAAAGGATCAGCGAGACGAAGGAGCGGAGAAAGAGAAAGGGGGAGAAATACAGACAGACAAGGGAGGAGGGGCAGGACAGAGCGATATAATAAGAGGGATTATGAGTGCAATGGGATTTGCAGCTGTGCAGGTTTTCCTGTAGGCAAATTTGACTTCCACAATTAAGCACATTTCATGTGTGTCTGTGTGTGTATGTCTGTAGCTGTACTCTCCTCTGTAGAGTGTACAGCTGAGCTGCTGCAGCAGCACACTCCCTGCACTTTCACATAGCTCAGCTAAAGCAAAGGAAGTAAATAATTGGCGGTAGTCATGGTAACAGGCCCGCCGACGCCATGCCATCCAGTCCATATAAAAGCTGAGTTCGGCTGTGCAGAGCTCGACAGGCGGGTACGAGCTGCTGGAAGCGCCCCTCACAACCTTTTCCATTTCCAATTAGAGCTGCACTGTTCGGGGGGTGACGCGGGTGAGCTTAAGCCTGGCTTTTGTTCCACACTCACTAGGAAGTTGAGATCTTTCGTTTAACTTTTCTTTTAAAGGTTTTTCTTTCACTGTTAGGACAATGAAGAGCCAGCCTGCATGGACTTAATGAATTCCTTCCCCATTCTGCGAGCTGCTCTTGGGCGCCTTGATGGGTTTCATTCACTAATTTTAAGCTCTGTGTTTGATGAAAGGTGTGTAAATTAGAGGGCAGGAACTTCAAGTGGTTCTGGGGAGTTTGTTCAAACACATTTTCAGTCAATGCTAACAGCAACGTAAACATGGACCATTATACCACAGCGCTTGTTGAATTCTTAAAACATATTTGTCACAAGGTGATGATTTATTTCCTGTAACAGAAATTCGGTTGTATTGTAGTAGTATTGGATGTCATTCAAATAATAGGTTTATATTAATGTACTCATTCAAGTTGTTAAACCGTTATTATTATTATTGTTTCTACAGTGACAACTTGTTCATAGAGACAAAATTTTTTAAAACAAACCAGTAAACTATAATGTGTCATTCTTTAATAAATTAACTGTAATTGTAATTATTTGGCAAATTCCTGTTATATAAAAGGAATAAACACTACATGGCATGCTGCTATAGGAAAATAATCAACTTCCGGCTTGTAACAGTCTTTCACGTTGCATCACACTGCATCATCCCACCCCATCGTTGATTATATTTCTGTAAAGCCATGTACTATTGGGTATGATTCCTTACTTGAAGTTCAACTATAAGCTGCCTGGGCTGGGATTGCAAGGGGACACGCACTGAGCTGTAAAAGAGTAGCACTTTGGGCTGAGTGGTGAAAACCATAAAGACTTATGAGAGAATCAAGGCGTGTTACACACATCTTTCATTTCTGCTTTGATGTGCAAGTGTGTAGAGGCAGTACACACCTGAATTACTGCGCTTAAAAATTCTTATGGCCTGCTGACTGCAAGCTCTGTTTATTCAACATTGTACTGCAAGCTCTGTTTGACTGAGTGTGTGTTTCGCATGGACATCTCCCTCATCTCCCTCACCCTGTGCTTTCTATAAGCAGATTGGTGGTTAACAAGTAACATTAATGCTGGTTACAGGCTTCTAACTCCTACACACATTACACACACACATTACACACACATTACACACACACATCTTATACAGAGAATCACATGACCTGATTCGATTGAATGGTTAGCTGACCTGCTTCTCTGCACAAACAGATGTCTTGTCGAGGTCTGCCAAAATTCTGTCCTGCTGTTATTACACGCACACACAGTCTCGCAAACGCATATATAATCAGCAAAAAAAGAATACATCCCTTTTTCAGAAGACTGTATTTT